GAAATAGATTTTTGAAGGAAAAAATATTACCAGCAATAGATTTTTAAAGGAAAAAATATTACCAGAAATAGATTATTGACAAAAGAAAACATTACCAGAAAAAAAATTTTGTCAGCATTAAATAACCCATTGAGATTAATAACCCATTGAGATTAATAACCCATTGAGATTAATATACTGTTAAACAAAAACCAAACTTTCACAATTACAATTGAAAAGAATTTATCTAAACTCAACATCAAAATTCTGAAACAATAAAATACTTAATTAATACAAAACAAGATAATAGGCTAAAAGCTGAAACAGGCATTTACTTTACCATCTGTAATAAGTGTCATAATTAATACATAGGTGAAACCTAAAGGAATTTAAATAAAAGATTACATGAACACAAATGGGATCTCTTACAAAACAACACACTATATGCATTAGTTGCTCACCATAATGAGACTAACCACAATTTTTATTTAAAAATACTACTGTAATTAAAAGAGAAAGCAATTTACTAAGATGAAAATGTATAGAACATGATTTTATTACTAGAATATTCACAGTAAATTTATATCCAAGTTCTTACAACACTTCACCTTTCTTGGCAGATCTTCTATTATCTTAATTATGGGATATTTAATAACAAAAGTGATAAAAATATAACCAAAAAGAAAAAGAAACTGAATGAAAAACATTTGTAAAAACAAAATAAAATTGTTATCATCCACTTTCTTTCATACACATTGTTGGGGTGCACCCACCTTCTGACTGATAATGGACTTATCCCTCTACGATATAAGTCAGTGCTAGAGAAAGTAGTTGTGCGAGGATCAGGAGTCGAGATCAGGTTACCATTACATACCGTTGGACTGTAGACTTTTGCTATTGTTACTTACTAACCGGCGTTCCTTATTACTAATCACTCTGTTGTTAATTACCTCTTACAAATACACCAGTATTTATCCCTACAACTGTGTTTGTCTTTATTCGAATACACACACGCGGGAACACTCCCAACAACTCAACGCACATGTGTAGTAAACAATGGCCAAAATGTATCATATGAAAACTTTTCCCCTTTGTCACCATTTTTCCCCCAAATACTGAATATATATATATATATATATATATATATATATATATATATATATATATATATGTATAATTATTTATGTAAAATTATAACATAAATACGTTATAAAATCACTACAAAAATAGCTATTTTGTTTCAACACCTCCAGTGTCTTATCAAGTGATGATGTTAAATGTAAAATAAATGGTTTTAAAAGTTTCAAATTAATTAACAATCCTTCACAAGGAAAACGTTGTTACAAAAGCTAGAATGACCAATCAAAACACAAGTATATGAATTATTGGAATTTATTCCATATACACCAATCATATACTTGTATATATATATATATATATATATATATATATATATATATATATATATATATATATATTGAATATGTATGTTGATTATGAGGTTCTGAACTTTTCTGTTGAGAACTGTTCCACAGAGTTTTCTTCCTTGGTTGAAGCTGTCATTGATGATTTTCTTCTATCTCAGAAAGACCAGGTGAAACCATGGGCTTCTTCTTGGATCACACTAAACGTTTCTGCTACTATTCCCCATAGGAATCATTTCTTCCTTGTGTCCCAGTATGACAGTCTTGATCACAGTAGAAGCCTGTTTGTGCCTGCTCGTAACAATTGTAAATGTGTTCTCAAAAAGGCTAAGTCTTTGTTTGTAGATAGAATGACACCTAACAGTGTGGCCCTCATGACTATTGGCAGCTCTGTAATAGCATTTTAAATAAGAGTAAGTTGCCTGAATTCAAGTTAGAACCATGTTTCTATTGCATGATATGCATATAACTCCATCCATGGTTTCTGTTATCATCTATAAACTAGATTGCCTCAAAGCATGTGAACTTGTTGCTATTCCTGCAATAGTCCTTAAGAAATGTACTTTCAAACTGGCTCCTGTTCTCTCTAAAATGTACAATAAGTGCCTTGCTGCTTCCTGCTTTCCTGTTTGTTGGAAATCTTCATCTGTAGTTCCTGTTTGTAAGAACTCAAGCAAACCATCTGATCCTTCTTTCAGCCTTCTACCTCTTTTTGGCAAAATACTATAGGATCTAATCTGAATTGGTTAAGCATCTCACCTCCCAAGGTTTTCTCTTAGATAATCAATATGGCTTTCACTTATCTGGGTCAACTGATGATGTGTTCATACCTATTGCTGAAAGAGTTTATGAAGGCTTAGATAAGAATGGTGAATCTTGCGCTGTTGCTTTGGACTTTTTGGGAGCATTTGATGGCATTTAATGGCATTTGGTGTATTGGTTTTCTTCACAAATTGAAAGGTTCTAGTATTTCTACACAAATTTTTTTAAATGATTCAGTCTTTCTTATTAAATCATAAAAAGAAAGTTATCTTGAATAGCCACTCTTTTAGGTCTTTTCATAAATATAGGTGTGTCACCCAGAGCTCTATCCTTGGACCTACATTTCCTAATTTTCATCAGCAACCTTCCTGATGGCATCAGCTCTCAACTTGGTATCTATGCCAATGGTACAACCATTTATTCCTGTAAGTTTTGGCACTTTGATAAAGTCAAATTGGCAGCTGATCTAAGAAATGATTTACATTCTGTTAACAACTGGAGGAATGATTAGTTTGTTAATTTTAACACCTCCAAAATGAAAATGTTCTCTTTTAATTGTATGAGAGAACACTTTTTACCTTCCATGGCGAATGCTAACCTCCAGAAGAGTAACTCACTGCACCTTCTGATGACATGCAGTGAAAAGATTATATTGAATCAATTGCAAGGAAAGTTGGTTCCCTATGTTATGGTAGACAATTTTTCTTACCAGAATTTATCTTACATATTTATAATTTATCACGCATTCTTGGTTTGAATATTGTTGCCACATCTGGTCTGGTGCTCCTGCTATATATTTAGAAATTCTTGATAAAATCCAAAGAATCCACAATGTCACTGGTCTTGATATGGCATCTCGGCTTTAGTCACTTACTTCCTCACAGTTGTAATGTATCTTTCCTGTGCCTTTTCTATATATTTTTTTAACTATTTGACTCTATGTAAGATATAAGAAAAATAACACTATTAAGCCGAGAGAACAATAAAAGAAGAAGAAATAAGAAAACTGAAGATAACAATTGATATTATATTTAAATTTCTGAAGATCAAAGTTGATGGGGAAGCAAAAAGATGGAAGAGAGTTCTATAAGTGAGAATTGTGATAGAAGAAACTGTTAGCATAGGACTTATGGTTGCATTGAGCCATTTCAACTGGAAATTGATGAGACTTGGCCACCAATCTAGTTCTGTAAATTCATAAAGTCTAGGTGCCACAGAAGAAAATTCATCAGAACAATTACCATGACAGTGTTTATAGAAAAGGCACAGGGAAGCCACAAAACAGTTGTGAGAAAGTGACTGAAGCCAAGATGCCAGGTCAGGAGCAATAACATTGCAGATTTTTCTCTGGATTTTATCAAGAATCTCTAAATATATAGCAGGAGCACCAGACCATATGTGGCAGCAATATTCAAAATATGGATGAATAGAAGACATATATATATATATATATATATATATATATATATATATATATATATATATATATATATATATATATATATATATATATATATGGGCATGTGGTTGAGTGGTTAGAATCTATGCTTTTTGATATTAAGACCCAGGTTCAAATCTCACTACGGTTTATTTGTCAAGAAGGAAAATTCCTGATATTATCGATCTGGAGTGTGCGGCATGTTTGGGAAGTGCCCAAAAACCATACCACAGGTTGACCCAAGCCTTGTTAGCAAAGTTTGTTAGACAAAACACTTGGGTGTTGTTAGCTGCTGTGCTAGCACGAAGTCACAAGTCATCGTGACCGAGGGTTTGTGCATGATGGCCTTCTTCAGATTTTTGATCACGCTAGATAACACAACCTCTCCCAGAAACTGCAAGTCAGGTCTGCTCAGCACAGTTGCAGTATAAACTGCAGGTGGGCTCTGTGTGTGTTGAACAAACACAAATGTGCCTGAGCGAGCATCTGCAGAAGTGATTGGTTAGCTGCCCTAATAGATGGGTACCCTCAAATATGAGTGGCCAGCTATTATATATATATATATATATATATATATATATATATATATATATATATATATATATATATATATTTTTTAGAAAGGGCATAGATACATAAATAACTGAACATTGCCTTCCACAATTACAACTGCATACAAGTTGATATATAGTGATAGAAGTGAGGCTTTGTTACAGTGACTATTGTGTGCTTTCATATCTAAAATCTAATAAAACGGGTGTGGCTTTGAAAAATCATTGTCTCTCCATTAGTGCAGGGTCACACAAGCATTTCTACATGATTTAACATCATCTGCATACCTTTGTTCACATGAGCAGAAGGCAGACACCAATGCTCCACTGAGCCTGCATTAATTATGGGGTAAAGAAGTATGTCAGGACTGGCACCCGAATGTTAATATATGCACAGTCACATTCATAAGAAACATAGAGAGAGAGAAAGAGAGACAGATAGATTGAGAGAGAGGAAGAAAAAGAAAGAATGACAGATTGATTGATACATAATGAGATGATGATGATGTATCAAGGGAGATAACCATTGATAATTATATTGAGAATGAAGGCATGCAAGAGAGAGAGAGAGAGAGAGAGAGAGAGAGAAAGAGTGAGTTACAAAGAGAGATGATAATGCCTCAAGGCAGATAAAAATGAATCAATAGTAATTATATTTAAAGTGCAGGAGAGACGGAGAACAAGATAGAAATAACGGATCACCCACACACAAAGTCGAAAGAATATATACACAGGGTGCATATATAATCATACATACAGTTATACCTGACTGTGAAATGGACATTCTTGTGCCTATATTTTTGTGGTGCATGGTATTTCAGAGAAAAAAAAACATACCTTTTGCATTTTCATACCAGTTCCTATATGATCACCAAAGTTAAGCAACATTGAGCCTCGTCAGTACCTAGACAGGTGACCACTTGGGAATACCAGGTGCTGTAAGCTTGGATGTGCAGTGGTGTAATAAATGATTCCTCAGAATTGTAACTAACACTCAATAAAACATTAGATTACTTAGAATATTTTCCTAAATTTTAAAATTACTGGGTAGTTAAAAATTATATAAAAAAGCACTCATGTGATATTCCTCAAGTAATTTTCACAGTTATGTACCCAACTGAAAAATCTAGATAAACTTCTGACTGTTAATCTGTCAATAGAGCTGTTAATACCTAATCAAAACACCTACCTTTTTCTTAAAAAATGCTTTTGTGCAATATTTTAAACAACAAGTAAGTGATATTTGTTTCAAATCAGTTTAGTTAAACGTTAACCAGTTAATATTCCTGAAATAAATTTTCAGAAAAATATATTAAATATATTTTATTTTTGAAAGATTTTTTAATAAAGATATTGTGCTGACAAATGGCTAAAAATGATTTTAAAAAAACAAACTTCCAGTTAATTTAAATTAGAGTCTGTCTATATTTCTGAGATGAGGTATTATGTACATTATTTACATTATTCGAACTAATGTCCTCATTTTTGTCACCATATTTATCACAACATTTTGGCTGTTGTACGCTCTGGCCTTCTTCAGGTGGTTGGAATTTTGAACTGAACCCTTTATTTCGCTCACTGAGGTAGACTGTTCTAGTTCCACATGCCATGTTTTTGATGGATGTCAGTTATCAGTTATCTCTTGCTAATTTCCCTCTGAAAGTTCTCCACTGCCTTAACCGGGTATTGAACTCACACTCTTTGGGTCCTGTCACTATGGCTGACCACATATGGAGAGAGAAGGGAGATCACCGCCCTCTGTGGGATCATGTTGAGATCATAGACAAGGAACACCATTGGAAAATTCGTAAACTTAAGGAATCAGCACATAATCAGCCACAAAAGTCTCCTGAGCGGACCAAGCATAGAAATAAATACAATATGGGAACCAGTAATAAGGAATGCCAGAGAAAAGCAATGATAACGACAAAGTTGCAATATGAGCTCTGGTAAAAACATGCAATGATAACAGCAAAATTGCAATATGAGCACTGGTAAAAATGGTTGCTGAAGACATTATGTTTATAATACCCAGAAATTCACACCCAGATGTCCTCAAGGACACATGGCACAGTGGATAAAGGCATTGGTTAGATCCAGTGACATCAAAAACATCCTTCAAAAACATGGCACGTGGAACTAGAACAGTCTACCCCAGTGAGCAAAATAAAGGGTTCAGTTCGAAATTCCAACCACCTGAAGAGCGTACAATGGCCGAAATGTTGTGATAAATATGGCAACAAAGATTCTTATTATTACATTATACAAATACATATTATTATATATATATATTATATATATATATATATATATATATATATATATATATTTAAACTCTGAGTAGCAGGTTTGGTATTATATATTATATAAAATCAAAATTGGTACTCTGAGTTTAATGCAACTCTGGGTAGCAGATTTGATATTATTAGAGTTTCATGCAATGGCAATCATCTGGCATCTGATGATTGCGATTGCATGAAACTCTGAGTAACGGATTTGGTTTTATCATATATTTATATTAGGCTCTCTTTGATTTTGACATTTAAGCTTTTAGCTTTTATTCTTAATATATATATATATATATATATATATATATATATATATATATATATATATTCTCCTGATGTCATTTTTTAAGATGTTTGCTATTCTAAAGGCTAGAAAAAAACTTCCATCAATATGAAAAGAGTGATAACATCATAAACTCACAAAACAATTTTCTTGAAAAACTGAGAAAGACTTTATAAATTTCTTTTTAGCAGATGAAACTTTTGGGCACATACTTCTGCTATGATGAATTAAGAGAAAATATAATATTAGGCAATTATTATTTAAATATAAACTAATGATTTGACATTGTAATGTTTGTAAAGAAAAACTTTTAAAATCTACTTAAATTAAGATTTGCTAAAAGGAACAATTTAGATAGATTCAAATTATAGCAGACAGATTACAAGATCATGTACTGTTCATTAATCAGTTTCTGACAAGATAAAAACCTCTTTTTATTGAAAATTATTAATAAGATATGATAAACATGATATAACTAAATGGATACTAACTTGATATTTAATTAAATTATATTTTACAGAAACAGAGAAAATTTTCTCAGCATTTAAATCATTTATCAATTTATTAATCTACAAAGTTTTAACTTTTACGCATGCATAATTATTCAGTAATTAGAGATTTTATACTCTTCAAATAACACACATTGAAATAGAGCTGAGCATTTTTCTCTGAAATATTCAAGTACATTCTTGTGTTTAACACTACATCCACATGCCAGGTATAAATAAAAGACAATGCATCAAGACAGAATTTTGGCCCAATGGAAAGATGCTCTCCACATAGGGTTGTGAATCCTCGTTTATTTATACTATCTATATTTGGACTATTGTCCTCATCTTTGTTGTTGTTCTCTCTGGCCTCCTTTGGATGTATATCTATCTAGGAAACCAACAGGAAATTATTTATTTAATCTCTAGGAGTAGACTGTTCTCATTCCACTGCTCGTAATCTAATTCTTATTTTTATTTAGTACAGTTTAGTTATTGCTTGTCCATTTCTACTGAATGTAAGTACACACTGCTGTACCTAGGGATTGAACTCGCAACCACTACATCACCAAATTTGCAAACCAATGCTTTTATCAACTAGGCAAATTTTCTGTAGTGAACTTAGAGCCTTAAACCTAACCTTGCTGCTGATTAGGTTGCAACTTTTGCTGCTGCTGTCTGTCATGTTTTGATTGCTGCTGCTGCAGTTGAAGACTTGCTGTCATTGTCTTTCTTTCTTGATTAGCAGCTCTCTATTGTACTTACTTTTATGCTGGGTTTACTAAGGAGGTTCTCATAACCTAACACATGCACTGATTCCTTCAGACATGTAACTCTCTGGTGTTCTTCTTGTCCAGTATTTTCTATTTATTCCACAGGGACTGATGACTCTCCCTATCTCTCCATACATGATCAGCCATGCCTGATAATAGAATGAATATGAATAGTATAAATAATGATAATCTGCTCTCTATTGATCATCTGAGAGATCCATTTCTGCCTTCCATTAGCATACAGGAGACGCTAACATTTTCTGCTGACATGAAGTAGAAAAATGATATTGAATCAAATGCTTGGTCATCTACTATGAAACTTGGCTCATTGTGTTGTTTTAGACATTTATTCTTTCCAGAATCTATCTTACCTATCTATAAGTCTACCATTCATCCATTACAACTGAAAAGTCAGTTCAATCCTCAATGGGTGCTCCACACTTTCAGCCTTCTATGCTTAGAAAATATTTGGGCACCTTGACATAATGTAATGGTTAGCAAGCTTGTCTTGCTAGAACAATTATGACAGAGTAGTGGGTTTGATCTTTGCTGGGTACCCCATACTTTCAACTTTGTGCCGCATCTAGGCAATATTTGGAAAATCACCATTCATGCTTAGAATATTGCTGCTACATATGGTACAGTACTGCTGCTATACATTTAGAAATCCCTGATAAAAGTCAAAGAAGAATCTGCAATGTTATTGGTTCTGACCTGGCATCTTAGCTTCAGTTACTTTCCCACCATTGTAATGTAGCTTCCCTGTGACTTTTATATAAACACTTTCATGGTAATTGTTCTGATTACCTTTTTTCTGGTACCTTGACTTTATGAATTTAAATGTAGTATTAGATTGGCAGAATGTAAATACAGTACTAGATTTAACTATGTGAAACTCAGGTCACCACTAGGGCCATCCTCAGATATATATATATATTACCTGTAGAACAATATTTCCGCCTGGAAAAACATGATTTCAAAACCCATGCCAAATTCACTATAATTGAAAGAATAGAAAATTCCAGAGCATATAACATTAGAAAGATTTTAGAGTCCCATGAAAATAAGTGAATACAACGTTTAAAAACACGCTTTCCAGCCGGGCTAAACCACAAATTTAACAATATAGATAGTATTAATATCTAAGTCAACAAATCAAAACCTACCCACATTTCTCACTCACACAAGACAGACATGGTTACGGAGGTGTTGAGGCCTCACACTTATACACACACCCACACGAATGTATACACACTTACACACATCATACTCACTCACTCCCTAATGAGCCAGATGATAACACACACCCACAACAATACACACGCTTACACATATCATACTCACTCCTCCCCTAAGAACCAAATAACACACACACAAACACTAAACAGAGACACATCCCTCACCAGGTCCAATAAAACTGTCAAACTGACCAGAGAATTCAGAGCAACATGTATCTGTCGAGCTCTTATCTCAAATAACAACAAAAGAGACTGTTTGACCAACACAAGGAATGTTAAAAAAAGATTTATGTTAAAAAGATAAAAAATAAAAACAAATGAAAACTACAGACAAAAAGTTCATTTTCTCCAGCAAGATATTCATTTCTGTAGTTTAGTGCTAACAGCAAGCAGAAATATTTCTCCTCCCGATGATGGCCATTTTGGTCGAAACTAGTCGAGGAATCTAAATGAAATAATAATAAAAAACGAAAGAATATTAATCTACAACCCAGTGTGTCTAAAAATTTTAAGTTCTTAATTTTTTCATTGTTCAATATATATATATATATATATATGCAAATATTATTGGTCCTGGACCTGACTTTATAACTTCAGTCACTTTTCCATTGCAGTAATGTAGTTTCTATAGATACTTTCATGTTAAATGTTCTGATGAACTCTCTTCTATGGTGCCTAGAATCTATGAATTGAAGCACAGTACTAGATTGGCAGTTAGGTCCCATTGATTTGCTGTCAAGTTGGCTAGATGTAATCATAAGTTCTATGCCAACAGTTTCTTATCTCATACTTCTCACTTGTAGAACTCTCTTCTGGCTTTTTGCTTCTCAGTCAAATTTAATTTTCAAAAATTTAAATGAAATATCAATTTTT